GCGTGAGCCACCGCGCCCGGCCTTGGCTTATGTTTTTAACTAAATCAAAATAGCAAAATATGGTTTTACCCTCCTTTTCGCATCCCAGAAGGAAAGTGTAGGAGACCAGAGAGTAGAAGAATGCTTTACTAATTGAGTTTTTTTTCTTCCTTCATAACTAACACTTGGTACTCAGAGTTTTGCCGGCCTAACATTTTTATAAGTATATTTCAGTGTATACGAAGAGAAACAAAAGCAGTAATTGGTTCAACTGGGCTTTTGCTGCAAAGAAACAAATCTGGAAACACAATGAGAAGCTATTAGGCCAGGTGCTGCCCGGAAAGAGCAGGCTGGGAGGGAGCTCACCTTGTGGATCAGCACCGTGCCGCAGAGCCCCCGCCGGCCCGCCTTCTTCAGCACGGTGAAGGCGCTGTCATCCCCAATGACCACCATCTCCACAGGGATGCCCTCAGCCTGGGCCTGCTCCCGCGCCAGGCCAAAGTTCAGCCGATCCCCAGTGTAGTTCTTCACGATGAGAAGGGTCCCCACTGCCAGAGCAGCGGGCCTGGTCAGTGCCTGCCCTCGCCCTACCCCGCAGTGTCCCTCCCCTGCACGCCAGGCTTACCTGTGCCCGCCTGGGCCACGGCCCTGATGGCTGCTAGGATGCTGCCCACTGCCGGGGAGGTGAACACGGCTCCCGCGATGACCCCGGTCAGCATCCCCTTCCCTATGAAACCTGGAGGCGGGAGGGAACCGTGCCTGCAGTCAGGGGGGCTTCCCACACTCCTGGGGTCATGGTTTGGTGAGCCCTACTGTGTGCGTGGTGCTACAAGATCCCCCCAGGTCTTCACATCACTGATGCCTTCTCAGGAGTCTCCGTAGAGAGGCCCTCCCTGACCTCCCAGCCTGAAGCAGTCACCCACTCCATCCCCAGGGACTCACTGTTCCTTTACCCTTTTTACTGTCTTCACTATGTCACTTAGTGCTCTCCGAAATGATCTTATTTGCTTATGTGTTTACGTGGCTATTATCTGTCTCCCCAGAGTCAAACACAAGCTCCCCGAGGGCAGGGACCTTGTCTGTCTGTTCACTCTTGTATTCCTAAAGCCCAGTACAGTGCCAGGCACACAGTGGACTCAGTAACATTTGCTGAATGAATGAATGGGTTTGCTGAAGGGAGACAGGAAAGGGACGAATGATACCACGCCTGGTCACTGCCCTCCAGGAGCTCTCCAGGAGCGTTCATCTCCATCCCTGGCTCCAAACAGGACGCAACCCAGGACTATCCACCGTGGAAATGGCAGGGTGGGGATTCAGAAGAGGGATATTGCTCTGGGCTGGAAAAGTCAGGAAGCCTTCACGGAGGGGGTGCATCTGCTGGGCCTGGAAGGCCAGGATTCATGGAACCACCAACTCTCAGAGCTGAAAAGGCCTAGAGATCATCTGGCCCAACCTCCCACTTTTAAAGATACAGAAATGTACTTTTATAGGTGAGATCCAGCCACGCTGTGGCTGTGGCAGGGCACGGCCTGGGTGGGGGGGACCAGGTCCTGGTTGCGGACTCTGGGCTGGGCTCTGTCCTGCACCTGATTCCGGAAGCCCCTGCCCACTCCACCCAGCACCCCCACCCCCACCCCAGGGCGCTCACCAGCATGGGCAGGCTCATGGCCGGAGCCCCCACCAGACAGCAGTGCCACCCGGCCCTTGAGGCTGTCTAAGTCAGAACGGAGGGCCACGCGGTGGCCCTGCAAGAGCTGAAGGTTGGGGTCACAGGCCACCAGGCCAGCAAGGGCATCATCAGCACAGCCTGCCACTGAGTTCACCAGCTTCTTGGAGGTCTACAGGAGAGGAATGAGGGGGAGTTTCAGAGTATGGTCAGCAGGGACACCCCCATCCTGCCCAGCCACAGTGCTGTGGTGAAGACCCCTCTCCACATCCACCTGGGAACTCCAGGGACACCGCACTCCCTTGAGTTAGGTGACATTTTATCAGGTAGATGTCTTTGTGAGTTCTCGTTTTGTGATTTTTTACTCAGTGCCTAATTTACAAAGCCTTTTGCACCGTGGCTTCAATTTATCCTGAAAAATGAAAAATACAAAAAAAATAGGGGAGTTGGAACCCTCAGTATAAAACATTTTAATAAAATCGGGGCATGACGTCTTCTGTCAAAGGAAGAGAAGCCGCAGACTGAGGCTCCTGTGCCGGGGAAAGGAGCTGAGCAGGTCCAAGCCACTGCTGTTCCCCTGGGTCTCTGACACAGGGCCAGGCCCAGTGCTAGACACTTTGGGTCAGGAGATAAAAAAGAGCACTGTCCCTGCCCTCGATGGAGACACAAAGAGATCATGTCCATGTGCTACGGGGCAGTGCTCTCCCAGAGGGGCCTGTGTACACCTTGGCAGCACAGGGTGGGGCCTGGAGGTCTTTGTGAAGAATACGTAGGAGTTGGGTGGGCCAAAGGGGGCAGGGAGAGTGGGGGGAGGGAAAAGGGAAGCTATTTCAGCCAGAGGGGCAGCACACTGCAAAGCCTGCAGGTGTGACTAGTATGGTGGCACCAGGAAGCCAGTGTGGCCTACAGGGGGAGGTGAGCAGGGGCCTCACAGCCCTATGTAGGAGGAAGCTGGCTCTGAGCAGCCTCAGGATGGGGGTGTGGGCACGCTGGTCAGAACTCATGCTGCAGGGCTCCGCTGAGCAGACGCGGGATGCAGGCAGAAGGAAGCAGTGTGGGGGTTAGAGCACAGGAGGACTTGGGCTCTGCAGTCACAGGGACTCGGGTTCAAATCCCACTTCTGTCTCTCATTAGCAGCGAGAACTCAGTGAAGACACATCATTGTGAGCTGCCATTCCGCCTCTGGGGTTTACTAGAACAGAGTATACACCTGCAATATAGTCAACACTCAAAAAGAGCTATTCCCTTTTCAAACAGGCTGTGAAAAGCTGGAGCCAGCTGTACCGGGGTCACAGGCTGGATGCAGCCCCGGCCTTTGTCCTGGAGAGTGATAGGGGACCCGGAAGCCCGGGCTGCCAGCGCCACCTGGTGGCCCGGTGGGAGCCTGAAGCTGAGCCAGGTCCTGGCAAGGTGTACTTCCGGCTGCAGTTCCTTCCTGAGCATGCCAGCACCGGTTCCTTTGTGCAAAATTTGGCCCTGATTGTCTCCCTGTCAACCTTTCCTGGGTCTGGCCAGGGCCAGGGTCAAGCCACCTGCTTCAGGATGAGGCGAGTAGCCCGTGTCAGGGGGGAGCAAGCAGAATAATAAGATTGGCTCCATTTGCCCAGCAGTGACTAAGAGGCAAGCCTGGATCTAAGTGTTTTTGAACATGCCTCATTTCATCTTCCCAACAGCCCTATAGAGGAAAGATTGGCTCAGTGAGGAAACTGAAGCACAGTTAAATGACTTTGCCAAAGGTCACACAGCAAGTGGCCAGGTCTGCCTGTCTCCAAAGCTGGTTCCATGTTGGCCACATCACGCTGCTTTCCTGAGAGGCTGGAAGGGAGGTGGAGGGTGGCAGAGGTTTTGTCCGAGGAAAGGCATGGGCTGGTGGCTCTCAGAGCCCCCCAGGGACTAGGACACACAATGAGGTTGTGAATTAGTCTCACCTCCAAGCCCAGCCTCCAGTACTACCTCCCTCCAAGAATGTGCCCTGCTCTCCATCCTGATAATCTGTCCTGCCTGGGATTCTCAACCGTCCCTGCACCAGAGCCACACCAGGTTCCCAGTGGCCTGAGGAAATGGAAAAGGAAAGGAAGTCAGGCAAGGCCTCTAGGACTCTGCTCTGATCCACACCTCGCCGCCACTTGGTGTAGGCCTAATCCACCTGATATTGCAGATGAAGAAAAGGAGGCTCCGAGAGATCAAGTCTTCTGCAAAATATCACAGAGCTGGTTGGTGGTACGCTCAGATTTGAACCCACATCTGCTCAAGGCTTCTTTTGGTTCAGATCGTTTTTTTTTTTAGAGTCGGCCTGGAGCAAAGCCCAAGGGCATGGCAGCCTCCCACACTGCAGAACCCAGCTCTGGGACCAGCCGTCACATGCCCCAGGCTCAGGAACAGTGACAAGGCTGATCTTCACAGTTCCTTCTGTGACTGGTTCAAGGTCTATCACAAAGCAGGTATCTGTCAATGTTCTAATCTAAATGCGTGACCTGGACTGGGGGCTGAGGGGTTCCAGAGAGACTCAGAGGCTGCAGCCCCAGGCCTGGCTGGGACCACTGGCCTCCAGGAAATGGAGAGAAGCAGGGATCAGGTCCTGAGAGAGACGATGGCCCTATCTCTCAACCTCTGATCCTCAGGAGGCAGCAGCATCTTTTGGTCAGGGGGTAAGGAGCTCTAGCATGCCCAGGGCTGGGATCCTGCTTTGAGACCACGGTGTCCTCCCCATGCCCAGGACCCACAAGACTCACCATGGTGGGGAGGCTCTGAAGCAAACTGAGTTCACACCTTTGCAGAGCTGCTGGAGGACGGACGATCCTGTGGGTGCTACCTGGATCTGAGCACAGTGGAGGCGGCAGCAGCACCTGCAGGAATGGGTAACAATACAAGCTGCTGAAGGCACTTGCAGCCGACTGGCACGGTCACGCTTCCAGTGCCCTAGTGATTAGGGAGCTGCCCAGACTTTGGTCCAAGTCCAAACTCTAGTACGTGAGCTAGGAATGGAGAAGAGCATGGGGTGGACCAAGGTTCACACCTGCACTTGGCTGCCAGGAGACAGATCAATCCCTGTTGGGCAGGGGGCCACCTTTATACCCAGGAGCAGCGCCCACCTCATCACCAAGGAGCAAAGTAACCCACAAAATAACTTCATCTTTTACACAGGCATCACATGTGGTGAAAAAATTTACAAAGTTCTTCATACATTTGCTCTCATTGGCCTTGACACCACACTAGGAGGGAGCCAGCTGAGTTTGTGATCCCATTTTACTTCTGGGACTCAGAGAGCTCTAGTGACTCGTCCAAGGTCATACAGGTAAAAGCCAGGACTCAAACTCATGTCTAGTCTTTCTACAAAGCTTGTGTTCTTTCTACTGATAATTCAGTGCCTCCAAAAGCAGGCAGAGCCCCTGCTGTGGAAAACCCAATATGTAAACCACAATGACACCTGGTTTCCCTAAGTTCAGCCTGGTTGAGAGTCTTGGACTTTGGACAAGCACAGGCGAGTGCATGATGGGAACAGCCCAGACATGGTTCTGCACCTAGCTCTGCCTCAACTTACTGGGGGGAGCTTAGGTAAACCAACTCCCCTCTGAGCCTCAGCTTCCTCATCTGTAAAATGAGGGTTAGTTCCTCTCTGGCATTCTACAGGTGCACCAAACCACGTGTTTCTCCTCCTGCTCCTTGGAGAGCCTGTTTGATATGTGGGGTGGCCTCGAGGTTGCAGGGCTGACTGCCCTCCTGGGTTATTAAGACTCTCACAGGCAAAATTCTGGTTTCATGTTGCAGGACAGAATCTGTACAGCAACGGGGGCACTACTATTGTTGGGCACGTGGACTAGTGGGTTCTTCAAAGTCTGAAAAATCAAACAGTTTAAAGGGGGGAGGTGAGTATCCTGGTGCCCCCCAGGTGACGTGCGTGGTCGTTCTAAGGTCAGGTGGGGGCAGCGGCTTTGGAGGAACTGGGAGAGTGAAGCGGAAGGGGGCTCGGTTCTAGTCTGGGATATGCAAAAATCGTCATCTCTCTCCCGTTTCTAGGACTCTGCAATCCTTCCCGTTCCAAAAGGGTAACAGCCTGAGAGCTGTTGGTGCAATGGAAGTGGGAGAGGACGGGGTCTGGGGAAGGGCGAGGGGCGCGGAGCGGGGTTGGGAAGGCCTTGGCGCACCTCCCCTAACGGCTCACGCCCGCATCAGCCACCTCGCCTGCCGTCGCCGCTCCACAAGGACCCTAAACGGCGCACCCTCATCCGGGTCCTCTGGGCTCTGGCGGTAAGAGAGGGGGCGGGGCCTCCTGTGGTTGGCTGCCTCAAGCTCCGAGAGTCCTCCAAGAGGCCAGGTGAGGCCATCCCGTGATGCTCCGCGCCCCGGTCGCTCTGGCCTGCAACGTGTCTCCGGGGCGGAGACAGCGGCAGTGGAGTTCGCTGCGCGCGGGTGGGGGCTACCTGTCTCTTCGCTGGTGTCCGTCTCTCTTTCGTCGCCCTCGAATCCCGACGGGCCACCCCAGCCCTCGACATGTCGTACAACTACGTGGTAACGGCACAGAAGCCCACCGCTGTGAACGGCTGCGTGACCGGTGAGTCTGCTGGGGCAGAAGACCCCGGCGAGGGAGGCAGCTGGGGGGAACCGAGGCCTCGGGAGGTCCGGCGCCCCATGGGCGGCCGGGTAGAACCGGGGAATGGAAGGCGCTGGCGGCCGAGGAACTTCCCCCAGCTCCACCACCTCAAAGGAGCTGTCTCAGCACGCTCCTTTTGGGGATTAGAAGCTGCTCTTGAGGGGCCCCTTTCGTCCTGGGAGGTCACTTGGCCTCGAGGGCAGGGCTGGGTCCAGCGGGACAGCGAACGGAGTGAGATGATTTTGCAGTGTTGCTTGGGCGCAGAGATTGGCCTCTTGTGGCCGAGGGAAGGGGTGGTGGTGATGGCGACTTTTGGGTCAGAGTTTTCATATGTGGGAGTGGGGAGGTGGGTACCCAGGGTTGTGAGGAATGTCCGCACTCACCCTGAGAGGGAGAGGAGCTTTCTCCGGGCTCTCTCCTTTGCTTGGGGCTGTTGTTTACATGAGGGCGCTGCTGGAAAATAGGGTTTGGTTTGCCTGGCCCTGGGCTGGATTTGTCATGTTGCCTATGTGCAAGGGTTATTAAGGACACCAACGTCCAGTTGCAAACCTCAAACTTGTATGTTTATGTAAATCTTTGTCATGATTCCAAAACAAAACTCTGTTGTTCAGAGTTGGAGGCGGCTAAGAATGCGGATGAGGGTATTGGTAGACTGCTGGGAGGACAAGAGATGTGGACAAAACAATGTTTTAACATAAAGCTCTGGAAGTGTTCTTCATTTGACCTGGTCTCTTTGATAAAAGTTTTGTGAGCCTTTAGATGAAGACTGGAAGAGATAAACACTTTCTCCAGCATTTTCAATTAGAGTCTGCCACTGTAATAGGAAAAGTAAAATTCGAGGGGTCAGAGCCATGTGAAGGTTTTACACAGTCATTGTCGGTTGAAGGACATGCAGCTCTTAGGTCCAGTCCAGTTTTCTTAGTCTAATTAAGGAAGCAGCTTTGCTGAATGCATAAAGTGAGACTCTTTGAGGTTCAGGCTTTGGCAAGAAGGGGAGTGAATGGAGGGAGTTGGAGAAACAGGAAGTAAATGAGAATTCTGGAAGTGTTTAAGTATAAGTGATAGGATTATTTAGAAGGGCTTTGGGAGGCCCTTCCTCTGGCTTCAAAAGTTAGAGCATCTGTTCTTTCAGGACATTTTACTTCGGCTGAAGATTTGAACCTGTTGATTGCCAAAAACACGAGATTAGAGATCTATGTGGTCACCGCTGAGGGGCTTCGGCCGGTCAAAGAGGTGGGCATGTATGGGAAGATTGCCGTCATGGAGCTTTTCAGGCCCAAGGTAAGTGTTCTGAGTTGGGACAAGCAATGGAGAACTGTTGGTTGTAGGTTGTTTTATGATTGCTGGGGTGGATGGAATATGATTTAGGAGAGAAACTCTCTGCTCTCCTTGAATGGCAGATTTCAGTGTATTCAATTCTTGACCAAGCTTCCTAGAAATAGGAAAGATTCATTAGGGAAACATTTATGAAGTTGACTTCTTTAGAAAGGGGAAATTAAAACAGTTAGAAATGTGGGTCACCATATTGTTTGGTGATTCAGAAGATAGGCTACAGTGTTGGGCAGTCCTGGCTTCATTCCTTATTAATTCTGACTTTGGGTGTCACTTTAGTTGTCATTTAAGCATTTAAGACACCTTTCAGAGTCTCGATTTCCCCATCTACAAAGTGGGGATAATAGTATCCAGTCCCTGGGGTTAAGATTAAATGATTAAGTAATACAGAGCCTGGTCCATAGCAAACATTTAGTGTTGTTATTAACAGTTATCATCATCATTAGTATTGTCATTATTTTAATCCCAATGTTTTCATCGAAATAACTGCCACCGTATTGCTTCATTATGTCTTAACTGAATCTGGCAAGAAAGCAGCAGGTTCAGAGTTTTAATTATAACCCTTTGAACAAAACAGTCATTTTTTTGGTGGTCTGTTAAATAAGTAAGACTTTGTAGATCCATTTTAGCTTCCATTGTTACTCCTACATTTTTCTTCTTTTTCTCCAACTACTTGGAGAGGAGTAGAGAAGGCATTACTTTCATCTTTCAGAATGACTGAGATTAGGTTGAGATTGAAATAGATGGAGACATTGTATATATTAATGGAACAGAGAGATAGAGATCATGAAAGTGGGGACTGGTTGTTTACCAGCTCCAGTTCTGGCTTTTTGTACATACCCTTGGGGGGTGTGTGTACCTAGTGTGGATTACATACTCACCATGTATTTTATCTTCAGGGAAACAAGAATTTGGAATGTTCTTAAAGCATTTGGCATGTGTAAAGAATGATGCTTTAAGACTGGACAGGTTGTTCCTGTTTTAAAAAGAACCTATTTTGATGGCATAATGTTGGTTTCCAGGGGGAGAGCAAGGACCTGCTGTTTATCCTGACAGCTAAATACAATGCCTGCATCCTGGAGTATAAGCAGAGTGGCGAGAGCATTGATATCATTACGCGAGCCCATGGCAATGTCCAGGTGAGGTGGCTGCTTCAGGCCGATGAGAGTTTTCCAGGTAGGGCTGTCATGATTCATTGATGAAAATTGAAATGCTGGGAGCAGCCTTCTGTATGATCAGAGAAACGGAGAAGACACTAGGGTTTGAGCTTTATGGAGAAAGGACTTCTGTAACTCACTGGACAGGGTAATAATTCATTGAGATTCAGTGTTTCACAAAAAGTATGCACTGACATTCAGGCTCCCTGACATGTCAAGCAGATCCATTAGTTTTACTACCTCTCCTAAAATCATCCTGAGAAAGTGGTGTCCAGTGTCTTCTGTTGCTCTGTGAGTGGTGAGGTTCTTCCCTAATTCCAGTTTTTTTCCCTCAGGACCGTATCGGCCGCCCCTCAGAGACTGGCATCATTGGCATCATTGACCCCGAGTGCCGGATGATCGGCCTGCGACTGTACGATGGCCTTTTCAAGGTTATTCCACTAGATCGGGACAATAAAGAGCTCAAGGCCTTTAATATCCGCCTGGAGGAGTTGCATGTCATCGACGTCAAATTCCTATATGGTTGCCAAGCACCTACCATTTGCTTTGTCTACCAGGTACTAGATTGGGAGGAGAGAGGGAGAAACTGTGGTTTGCTTGGTGGGAGTTGGTTTTTGTTAATTGGAATGTGTGGATTTGATAGTAGGATAGGGAAAAGTGTTTAATGTATTTGTCCTGAAATAAATATTTTGACCAATGCAATTAATATCAATCAGATTTTGGTTGCTTCTTGAGTGCAGTAGTACTTATTGTGGGGGCAGCAAGCTCTCTGGGGCTTGTAGCAGGTTTTAATCCGGAGATTACACTCTGGTTATGGGCCTTGGAGATTTTATAGGGTGACCCAGTTTATACTTTGAGTCTTTTACTGGCATGCTAGGGGATTATTAACATTTAGCTGTAGAGAAGTGATCTAGAACTTGCCTTTACAAGCAAAGAGAAGATGTCTTTTATTTGTGTCTTCTAAGAAGAGGTTTGTATTTTGTCTACCCCTTACTTTGTGGTGACTTTCTGGCTCTTGACTTCTATTTTAGTCTGTGCCTAAAACTTTAGCAGGGCTGATCCTGGGCAGCTGTTCTCTGGTCCAGATCTGTTAAGCAGGGGTGGGGTGGCAGAGCACCAGACTAATATGAGATCATTTCACTTGCATGTAGTTGAGTAAATGACAGAAAGAAATGATAGTCCAGTTCCATGGAGAGTGTGGGTGCATGTGAATGAACACTTTGCTAGCCGTGTTAAGTATTGGAAATACTGATGTATTTTTAGTGTTACCATAAGTGCTGTAGTTCCGAGGTTGACTGGAATAAGGTTCAATTGAATAAGATTGAAACTTAGTTTAGGAGATTTTCTTTGCTAAAATAAAAACTGAGAATTTTTCTCCCTTCTTTAGTTTTGTAAATGTCAGGTCATTAAAACTTTGATGTTATTGATTATTCAAGACTGGCTGACTGTTCCCACCCCCAGGGAACCAGTTTCGATCAGATCTTCATTTCTGCCTGTGTGTCTTAGAGGCCCAAGTCCATACCCTTGCTTGAACTTTTTGTGAAGTTGGGTCTTATCCCTACTCGTTGATAGATTGATGGGAAATTCTTTTCATCAACTGAAAATTACTGTTTCTTATATTATGCCAAAGATTCAATTTCATGCTTCAGGAGATGTGATCCCTGTCCTGAAACATGTTGCTGAATTCCTTTCATAACTTTCATAACTTCTTAGACTCTGGTCTCACCTTCGTTGAAGCCGTCTTCCACTGGGGCTCCATTCTCCCCAGCCCTAGTCTTTAGCCTCTTAAGGGTAACTTTAGCAGCCCCAGGACTGACATCAGTAATAATTTAGAAAAAGGAGGGGAAGATGGTGTTGACAATGGCAGGACTGACGGTTTTGACTCACTTTGGAGGAGCAATAAGTTCTATTCTCCATATCATCACCCTGTCAGAATGTTTTTAAGAATTGTATCAATTTTTTTTAATCTCTTAAATTTAGCTTCTCAGTGTGTTTTTTCTTTTTAGCCATTTTGTAACATCCTCGAGGCCAGGAATCACACACACATACAAACACACACACTCACACTCTCTCTCGTTCTCTCTCTCTCTCTCTCTCTCTCTCTGTCT